CAAACGCCAGCCCCTTTTTAAGGACCCATGTAGCTTAGTACCTATTAATCCTTTCTTCCCTTTAAAGTAGGAAGGAATCTGTATTATCATGCAAGTCATCCTTTTATTTGCCCACATAATTGACAGCATTGCCTTTTTTATTCATTTGTGTTTAATTACCAGTTTAAAAAACTACAACATATTTCACACTATCACACTGGCTTACATATTTAAAAAAGCAAAATCTGTTTTTCATCCAATACCTCTTATATTCCTTTTATTGTGTTTGTATATGCAATGGCTGATATTTCTTTCAGCACTGCTTCTACTAAAAGTATGGAAAACTTGAATTGTGTTGATTTGCTGGCAGCCAGTTTGTGAAGAAATGCTTCAAACCATAAAAAATGTGGACTTTGATTCAGTTATTTTTAACTCTTACAACTATACATCAAACTATTTTACATCTGTAATTGGTAATGAGTAAAGTTACTGCAAGTTGTGCCTTTGAAGAATAGTCTCTACATTTTATAAGTTATAGTAAATAATTTTCATCTATATGGACTACCGCTTCAACCTAGAAGGGGCTAGACCCAGAAGCTTGTCCTGAAAAAAAGGACAGTAAAAATCACAGTACAGTACTGTACTCAACTATTGTGTTCCAAGTGTACAGATACAACCACCATATGCATTTTCATGTGGTATCTGAAATGTTCCTATATTATCTGATGCTGATTGTTTTTACTATGCTGCCACAGACTGTAAGTAAAGTGTATTTTTCGAGGTGCATAATGCTAGATGTGACCTGTAATCACCTATATATATATATATAGGGGGCGGATATGAGTTCAGAGGAGGAAGACAAGAAGGATAAGGAGCCTGCAGCCAATATCTTCGGGGCAAACACACCAATTGTCTCCTGTATCTTTGACCGTAAGTTTAGTTTAAACTCCATTTAATAAAATAACCTTGCACCTTTTGGTATGAGACCTGGCAGCAGATGGAGAGCTACTGAAGGAAAGCCTGGCTGCAGCATGAGCTGTCCGAGCAGTAACAGCACTTGTCAAGCAGATACAATGAATGTAGATGATGCACAACAGATTGCTTTCGCTGCTGATGGCCATACATAGACCCCACTGGCATTCTGGAAAATCTTATGGTGAGTGTATGCTTATAGAAGTGCCTGCGGTATATATCAGGAATTCAGAATACAAAAGACACAGCAATAGATCTGTCCATCCACGTTGTTCAGCGTGGATGGAGGAATCTGTTTGGGTTTTTTTCCTTCAGCTTGTATGCTGAAAAAAAAAAGGTATTCCAAGCTTTAGTGAGAGATTGTCGCAGAAGTGTTTCAGTGTATTATATAAGTGAACCCGCACTACTGAGTAACAAACTACTATAACCACTTTAAACACAAACATTTCCCTCCTTATTGTATACCATCTGCACCTCTATAAATAATGCACAGTCCTACTAAAGGATACAAAAATACTTTATATATCTATAGACCGTATGGAGGAAAACACATGAAAAAAAAATGACAAAGTGTACATGCAAGTAAACATCTTATAAACACACTTAAAATATACACAAGCTACAAGTGTTTTTATAAAATGTTTTCTTGTCGTGTTCATCCATATAGTCTTTCTAAGATATAAATTACATATTTTTGTGTCCTTTTAATAAGATTGCGTATTTATAGTGGTGCAAAGTGTATATAATGGGGAGGAAAGTGTTTTAAACTGTTTTAAGTCAACTTGAGGATATTTTTTAAACTATACAACAATCAGTCCCAAAAGAATCTTGGAGAGTGCAACATACATTGTTTAGTGAGAACATTCACTGGAGTGTAAAGATCTTGAGGATCAAATTGTATAACGAGAAAACATACTGTATATGTCAGCAGTATCGCCTTTTATTTAATTATATGGTCCCTCTTTCATATTGGAGGTTTTTATTACATTGTTAACATGTAGTACAGGGGAAGAGGTTTCATGTTAGAAAAAAAAGACTGAGGAGAATTTTAAAAACAGGAGCACACAGAATCTGGAGCTTCTCTTTTCAGTTTGTTCAGTAAGGCCTTGGTCACACCTAGGTGTTTTATCTCACAAAACACAAAAACCCATAAGTCAATGGCGACAGTTCACACTTAAGCATTACGTCAGGCGTGTGATATCGCCTGTCACGCAAAAAGATGCAGGAGTTATTTTTAGGCGCATGTTTTTGGTCCCAATCGACATCTCTATGCATTGGGAACCATGCGGTTTTGACGCGCGAAAACAACTGCAATCGCCTATGTGTGAACCAGGCCTTACAGTTTGAAGATGAAAGACTGGTTACTATGGGCAGCTGCTCCAGATTCTGTCTGCTCCAGATTTGATAAATTCCCCCTTTTTGTGTTTTATCAATGAACTAGCAGACCACTCTTCATGAAGCACAACAGAAGTTTCCTTTTTGGTTTTATGTTTCTTTGTTTTTTGTTTATCAATAGGAGCCTTCACATATCACCTTCGCTGCTATCTTTATCAAGCTCGGACTCTCATTGCCTTGGATAAAGACAGTTTTTCCGGTAAGCTTTGTTTGCTAGGATGGAAAAGCTGAACATCTACTTTGTGTTTTAAAAGAGCATTGGTTGAGCTCATTAACTTTATTACATGCATAGTTAAATGTTAGGACACCCTTTCTGAATTTCGAATCTATTTTCAAGCTCTTTCCCAATTAAAAACTTTGAGGATAAACTAAAGCCACAATCTCTGGACAATTACATTTGGTCACTTTGAAAAAAAGACGTTCAGCTTTGCTTTATGAAAAATATCATCTCTTAGAACTTTGCTCAGGTGCAGATGTGCTCGCCATACTCATTACAATCTGGCTGTACTATCACATTTTTAGATCTACCAAAACTATGTAATATGAGGACCTTCATAAGCTATCCAATTAGTATACAATCAGGCAGGTCTTTTGCATTACTTGTTGGTAGATCTAAAGAGGATTGTACAAGTACACTGTATCACATGAGCTTTAGCATTGTGCTAGGAGGACTTTATTTTCAGCACATGCCAAACACCCCTGTTTACAGCCCTACACTGCTCCCTTTTTATTTCCTGAAAGCTGAACTCCAAAAATACAAAGTAGTTATCCGTTACCTGTTTTTCCAAAGCTTTATAATCCTGTCCAGCTAGTCTTGTGATAGCAGCCTCACTGATAGACAACACAGCCAGGTTCAAAGAAATATAAAAAAAAATGGTGGTGATCAATTTATAGTGTTCCTCAGCACAATCACTGCTATAGTATATCATTTACATGCAACTACGCTAAGGACTACAGGCAGACCCCGAGTTACATACATCTGACTGACATACGACTCCTACTTATAAACGGAGGCTATTACTGTACAGCAGGGGTAGTTGTAATGCTACCACACTCGTACCGACGAGGAGTGCCCACCTTTTTGGGTCTGTATCGTATAGTATTGTACGTACATTACAGGAAGTTGTCTCTTGTTAGATGAGCAATGCCCACTTCTTCTCCCGGGTCACTGTGAGGGTTTTGCTGCTGTCTGTATCCTCATTAGGAAGATTTAATCTCACTTCCTGTCCTTGAGACAACAGGAAGTGAGGAAATCTACCCCTAGGAAGGGAAATTCACTCCTGTAAGAGTTATCATGGGAAAAAGGTGTCTCCACTGAAGCTCTAACACCAATCCTTGTTTCCACAACAACCCGAAATTTTCAAAGTCCAATTGTCAAGGGGCAGAAAGTGAGGTGAAATCTTCTGTACAGGGGCACAGACAGCAAAACAAACGTTACAGGGGGTTAACCCTTCCCTATGGTATCAAAAACAAAACAAATGCAATGGAGTTGCACCTGTTCCAACTTGCATACAAATTGAACTTAAGAACAAACCCTACAGACCCTATGTTCGTAACCTGGGGACTGCTTGTATTTGCATTTAATCTAGTACAATAACATAACCAATGTGTAATTTTATATAGAAATTGATACAAAAATCTTTATGGTAACTCTCATAGCTCTTAAGTCTCACATTTGGAATAAATAAAAAAAATAAGGGTCCACAATTCCTCGACATATGATCGCTGTGGGTTGTTGGGTCAAGCACAGCACCACAAACCCCATTCTCTCGTGTGGTTTTAGAGAAGAATGAGCACAGACAACCAATTCTGAAGTCTGGTTTTAATAAACCTGTCAGAGTGATACAGGAGCTGTTTTACTGTCTTCAGTACTTTGAGTCACTGACCTGAAAGAAGTATGCAGACCAGCAAAGTCAGACAAAGACGACATACATTTTAGTAATTTTTCTGGCTCAGGAACTCAATGTATTAAAGCACAGGGGTCACAATATTGGCCAGGTAGTTAGCATTTTGGAAAGGTCAAAAATGGAGGCCTACATCTTTTTGCCATGAAAGATTTGCTTTAAGAGAGCAGCTAATTGTCCCAATATCAGCTTCAGAAACAAAAAAGACAAATGTGTTAGGTTTTTGTTAAGAATCAAGCTTATCTTTAAAGGTGCCCATACACTGCTCGATTCTCGTACGAGAATCGCGGGAAATCCCGCGATCGTACGAGAATTGAACAGTGTGAACAAAGACGTGCGACCGTTTCTACTGTACGGTCGCACGTCTTTTGTCTAAAGCGCGTGTTAGAAAACCAGCCGAGAATCGTACGATTTTCGGCTGGTTTGAACGGTGCTCGGGAGACAAATGCCGAACGGGCCGGTGTGCGCACACTGCCCGTTCAGCATTGCGGTCATCGGAAGCCCGCCCCTCGGGGGCGGGCTTGCGATGATCGAGAGTGCGATCTGCCTGTCCAAGATGGGCAGATCGTACGTTTTTTTTAATCACTTTACAACCATCGCAAGATTAAGTCTTGCGATGGTTGTACAGTGTATGGCCACCTTTACACTGTGGCTTGCCCCTTAAACTGAGGGATAGTTGCCTAATTTTCCAATTTGTAAATACAATAAAAGGGTCTCATCCTCAGTAGCACTGATGGCTATTGCAGACCTATGTGACCTAAATCCTGTGTTTCTGGCTTGAGGCTGCGCGTCACAGTGACCTATAGATAACCTTTTGTTGCCCTCTAGCACAGAGCAATGGTAATTTGTACAGGAAATGTAATATTTATGATGGCCCTCCTGCTCTTTTCTTTTTAGAGTTAAAAAAAAGGTTGATTTACACGCCCATCTAATAGTAGTCCCGAACCCTTTAATCATTTTCATGAGGGGTTGGGGCATCATAAATACAGAAAATTTGAGATGTGCTCCAGCTGGTAGATTTTATTGTCTGGTGACAACAGAAAATGCTTTGTTTTCATGCAAACCAGAAGATTGGCTTGTACAGGTGCAGGGAGCTCTATGCCTATCTTTACAATAATCTGGCTTATTTAAAGTATATCTAAATTCAAAACTTTATTAGTTTTGAACAGAGTAAGGAATAGTTTTATTATATTCCCAGTTAGGGAGATTTCCCTTCACTCCCATAAACGCACTGTACTAGTGTGAGCAGGCCCTAAAAAATACTGAGACACACACAACTACAGACACAAGCTCTCACACACACGCACTCCAAAAAAATCTTTCTTTTTTTTTTTTTTTTAAGATCCACCCAGTCTCCCTACTTTACGAGAACTGGAGTGGATGCTCAGCCTGGGGTCCAGTGTGGGCTGCTGTGCTATGACTGATCTCCATCCATATGTGCATTGCTTGTACAGCTCCCTTGCGCGGCCCGTAGAGGTGTGTAAGCGAGAATGTGATGTCACTCCGGTCCAGGCACCTCTAAAAGGCATGTGAGGGAGCTTTAAGCAATGCATGTATGGATGGAGCTCCCTTGTGGCCAAAGCTCCAGCCCACCCTACCTCAGAATATGCAAGGCAGCATATTCTGAGTGGCTGCTCAGCGGGAGAACTGATATTGCTGCGCTAGGGGGAGGCTGAGGAGCCTCTTTCCTAGTAAAGTGCAAGGCACGTGGCGACGCACTGAAAACAGGGTACCGACCCACTTTTTGGTCACGACCCACCAGTTGAGAACCAAGGTTATAATGATATATTTAAAGCCCAGCACCCTGAATTATATAAAGGAATTAGGCAAGCGTTAGGAGTAAAGCTTCTCTACCATTTTAGTTTGAAGCCAACAATTGGGGTTAGGTTGTGGCAACTTTTGATGCAATAAATGTTTTTTGTACCTGAATTGTCCAAAGCAGGAAAATTCCTTAATAAGCTGATTACAGTTGTATCTGATGATGCAAGTTGGTGGGAAATCCTTTTATGACATCCAGTTATTTAAACAGGTTTCTGGCTATATAACGTGTAACATTTTAGAGTGCACTAACAATTTGTGGCAAAGTCAAGGAGGAGCAGATTTAATTTCTTTTTCTTTGGTTTAGACCCCTATGCACATGTATCATTCCTTCACCGCAGCAAAACTACAGAGACAATCCATTGCACTCTGAACCCCACATGGGACCAAACCCTGATCTTCAACGAAGTTGAAATCTATGGAGATCCACAATCAGTAGCACAGAATCCACCCAACGTAGTTATTGAAATATTTGACAGCGATCAAGTGGTATGTATGTGGCTGTATACTGAAGATGTATTCTTTTCTATATCTTTTATGTTATTATTTATTTATTTTGTGTTTGTTTCAGGGAAAAGATGAATTTCTTGGAAGAAGTCTGTGCCCACCACTTGTAAAACTGACCCCTGTTGACTTAACGCCAAAACTGTTGTGGTATCCGGTCATGAATGCTGGCAAACACTGCGGAGACGTCCTGGTTGCTGCAGAGCTCATTCTAAGAGACAAGGTCTCAAGTTTGTTTTTTAGAGAATAAAGATAAGGGCTTCTCACCATGTTGGTCCATATTTGGTTTTCTGAATGTTAATAAGCTCAGATCTTGATGATATTTGCTGCATATGGAATGGTGTTTGGGAGGTTCTGCATATGTTTCAGCACATGAGCATTTGTTGCATACTCGCCAGATTTAATATTCTATATATGTTATAGTGCCAACCGTGCTTTACAAAATATGGCCAACAAATTGCAGACATCACAGCTCGTGTCTGTACGTTGAGTACAACCTAATAGAATGTTGTGCTACATTTTAAGTAAATACATTATACTTAACTTTATAATGTTTTTAAATGCTAAACAAAAGCTCTGGATGATGGCTCTGGCTATAGAGCCTTCTGTAACCAGTTGTGCACTAACAATGTGTGTGTGTCTTCTTCATTAGGATGGGTCCAACCTTCCATTGCTGCCATCCCAGAGAGCTCCAAAACTCTACATGGTACCTCAAGGCATCCGTCCTGTGGTTCAACTCACTGCCATTGAGGCAAGTACAATATTCAGTTCTGCTATTTGAGAAACCTAATTTTAATCATCCATGATTTTGCTAATTGTATACATGTAAAGGTACACATCTGACACATTTCAGAGGAGTGTCAGGAACATAACCCAGTATTAGGAACCACACTGGTCACACTAGTAACTGAACTTGTATTGCAGTAACCCTGAGCATCCTGATGCAGTGAGATGGCACTAACTAGATTGCACAGCCGCATTTCAAAATCTCCCTGGCTAGTCCCGTGCAGACCCTTTGAGGTCAAGTGCATTAGTTAGTCCAGAGTACAAGTTTGTAATTAAAAACCCTTCATAGGAATGATTGAGAGTGCAGAATTCATGAGCAGATCTGACTGTGCGTTCTAGTCAGCCATGTCTCTTATCAGGGGACAGGTGACTATCGGACTGGCAGGGGGCTGGAGACAGGGTGACAATGACATACTGTAAGGTCCAGTTTCACTTTAATACAATCACAATGGTGCCATAAATCTTGACGCACAATTGAAGAACAAGACGCCTTCTGCCTTGTTTTTGGGCAATCAACTATCAACATACAATAAAATACATGCAGGCATTCAGTTTGTTTATCTTCTTTTTTTTTTTTTTTTTTTTAACAGTTTCATTTACATAAGTAAAACATTCAACACTTCGTTATAGATTTCCAATTACGTGTTTCATAAACAAGAGCTGATCAGTGATTATTTAGACCAGTCGCATCTTAACTTTTAGAACGTGGCAAAGCCTGCTTGTTGTGGGTAGTAGCACATCATTGGATTTTGCTATAGGTTATGCCTCATTGTGAACCAAGAAACACGTTTTCATGCTTCTGAAATGTGTGCTCTTGATACAGATAACTTTATACTGAAAATGTTATTTAAGGGTTGGAGTAATCAATTGAATTCCACTACCTTATTTTCCTAAAACAGATACTTGCCTGGGGATTACGCAATATGAAGAGTTATCAAATGGCGTCCGTCACCTCTCCGAGCCTCATTGTGGAGTGCGGTGGAGAAATTATCCAGACTGCAATGATCAAAAACCTCAAGAAGACCCCTAACTTCCCCAGCTCTGTCCTCTTCATGAAAGTGGTAAGGCACAAGGCTGTTTTAAAGTGTACAGTGGCAAAGAACTAGAACCCCTCTGAGGTTTCTACTGCTATCTGGGATCTGTTATAGAGATTTCCCTTACTTCCTGACCTACTGACACAATGATTTTCAGGGTTTTTGTTGTGCTCTTTGAGCATTTTTGAATAAATTACTGCCATGCACATCACTCCTAAACATGAAGGAGCTTCACTTTAGGTAGAATCAAGTGCTTTGGCCCCAAAGGAGCACCTGAAAAACCCCTTATAGACACGTTTTGCATCTGTTTTTCATATGCTTCCTTTTAAAAGGCTATAGGGCTCGATTCTGCTTCCGTATTACAAGTAAAAATGCTTGCCTGGCTATGTCGGTGCTTAGGTGTGAAATACAGCCTCACAGTGTATAAAAATATTTACCATTATGTTTCTGAATGGGATCTTATGTTTCTGAATGGGATCTTATCTTCAATTTAGAAATGTGTTTTGTTTTTTTTTGTTTTTTTTTTCTGTAGCTGCTACCAAAAGAAGAGATGTACGTTCCTCCCGTAATTATTAAAGTGATTGATCACAGACCCTTTGGAAGGAAGCCGGTGGTAGGACAATGCACAATCGATTTGCTGGAGCAGTTCCGGTGCGATCCATACATTACGAAATTCGATGATGCTGCAGGATTAAAAGGTGCGGAGATATAGCTTTTCTCAGTCACGCGCATTCTTGTTTATCTTTACACAGACATATTGTCTCTTCCTTGAATAATAAACTCCTCATCAGAATATTAGTTTTTATGGTGTCTCCCATAAAAATAGAAGAAATGTGTTTATTCATCTATTCTTATTTCCCAGCATGTTAAAAAAAAGTTTAAACCGCAAATGCCATTTTTTTCTGCATTTCTCAAATATTTGTTGTTTCATAAGGAAAACTTTGAGACTTGCTCATGGCAGATTATTATAAACCATCTTCAGTATGAAAAGAGCAATAAAAAAGCACTAAAGAGGACTAATCGGGCATGTTAGGAATGCAATAATGCATTCAAAGTTGTCTTTTCCAGCATTGGTCACGTCAGTAGATTTGACTTTGGTTGTTTAAAAGTTGGCTATAAGCATCAGATGGTGTTTGAATGTCATCAAACAGAAGATCTATCTTACAAAGAAGTTATCCAAGAGTGGGTGGACTTCTCTGGCCTCGGCGTAGCTAAAAGAAGAATAGTGATAGGCCAGGGTAATCCACTCTGCCATTTGATTATTGCCCTAAAGTAATTGGGTTAGAGATTTGTTTGCGCAGGTTGCTGAGGGCCCACAGGCATGCAATCACTTTCCGATCCCACTGTAATCGGATTACTCGATAATTATCTCTAAACTGAGGGAGCCCTTAATCTTTACCTATTAAAGACCATAATTAACTAGAAGTAGTTAATTGCAGTAAACAAGGAACTTTGCTTGCAGTTGTGGATATGAACTGTGGCAAAGGGAATCATTTATAAATCCGATATTTCCTACTCGGAATAATGTATTTTTGTTCACATAGAATTTAGCTTTTTCTACTTTTATTTTGCTTATTTCAAAGTTGTTTCAAATACTGAAGGGAAGACTCTTTGCATGGGGAAGGGATTTTAAATAACTAAAAGAGCTTTTTTTCAAAGAACAGAGATGTGCTACTTTATAGGTCAACCAAATATCAGTTTATGACGGATTACTCTGGGTAGACTATCCACAAAGCTAACCAGTCGGTTAATCACTTTTGGCAATCAGTGTTTGAGACACAGTGCTTAAGACTTAGCCATACATGACTTGAATTCAGTAGAATTGGCTGTAATTGGAGCTGTGGATGGCTATGTTATCACCGCATGGCTCTACAAACATCTATTGAAAAATTGAAGGAGTCAAGTACAAAATTGCTGGCCAAGCAGTCATTGCATTCTATCAGATGCAGTCACTGTTTGGTTAACACAGAAGCTGGCAAGGGGAAGTTTCTTTTCAGAATGACTTGTACAAAAATTACCTGGGAATAAATATGGTGAATGTTGCTCCAATCCACATAATCTGTTAGTCACAACCAGGTGTTGATCGTATTTGCATAATGGAAGCTAGGTGTTAATAACCTGCCCAGAGAGAGGTGTTAAAACAGCATTGTATGTGGCAGACAATAGATGTCTGACCCCCCCCACCTCTATTCAAGTTTAGCTTCTCCATTTTTACATAAATGGCCTCTTTCACACCTCTTTTGAACCGGTCCTCCTCCCTGTCTAGGATGCGTACTTGACTATCTTCAAAGGAGTGACCTTTTATTTTTTTACAGATCTAACATGACCTGGATGAATGAGAACCTTCAGACTTATTCCATCCACATTGATTAGCATGGATGAGGGAAACAATTGAAGTCTAGAAATCTAGCCATGTGTGGCTATTTTACCTTTCCACCATGCAGATAATAAAATCCCTAAATGTGTTGTGTCTTTTAGTTGCACTCTTGTCTTCTGCCCCTCCTCGTGATGTAATTATTGATGTGGAGGACACTAAACCACTGCTGGCAACACAGGTAATGTGCTTTTACTTGAGTATCAATGTGTATCTGTCACTGCATGTCCAACTAAGATATTGTCCATCTACAAAAATAACACTACACAACTATGGCTGCAATATGTTCACAATTAAACTGACATTGAGTGTAAACCATTGACAAACGTCCTGGTCCGTTCCTAATGTAATATCTGTTCTTGTTCCGTTACCAACATTACCCGTCCTTTCCCAGAATCCTGTTTGTCATTAATAGAACCTGTGTTATAACTCCAAAGCTGACATACCAGCAGAAAATAGAGGGATTCATGATTGGAAGATCTACTGCTACTTTGTCCAAAACAGCCAATCGGATTAATCTTTTATTCTTTCTAGTGCGTTTGTCTCTCTCGCTGACACTTCAATCATGAATTCCCGATTATCCCTCCATTTACAGTATATTGTAAATAATCCATTATATGACCTAATGATGTGGTCCACAGCCTGCCTGCTCATAAGCCACATTCAAATATAAGAAGAGATACACCAATTGGGAAAACTGATGATAAAAAGCTATAAATGCTAATCATTCTAACCACCAGGCATTTTTTTTGGCTACATGTTTATGTACAGCACTCCAAGTGGCAGGTATTTAGACCTGAAAAATACAGAACACCTGCTGGGAGGATGGTATGCGTGGCATCAAATCAGAGCGCCACACGTGTCTTTGGCAGCTGGTTGGGGACCACTAAGCTATATTACAGTGCTACTATTCATCACTACCTCCTTTTAGACATTTGTGTACATTAACAGTCCCATGTAACGTTAACGCTAACCCTTTTTATCCCACGTGGGTAAAACTAAGCTTCCTCCAGAATGCCTAAAATCCCATAAATGTAAATCTTTATTATCCCGCTGGCATTCTCCTACAGAAGCAAGGAAAGTGGGACCTTTCTCGTCTCATAAAGGGCAGTCCAAAAAAGGTAGTAACCGATACGTGTGTTTTGTGTCATTCTGTCATTGTCGTAGCTGGGTTTTCTCCATGTTTTTGATTTATACATGTTAGGATAAGTAACAAAGTTCCGCCAACTCATCAAAGACCAGTCTACCAAGGACTCATGATGATGGGAGGAGTTTTTGTTCACTTGCTGTGGGTTTGGAATGCAGGTCAGCAATATCGTTTTGATTTTATGAAGTACATGTAGCAGAGACCACATTTGACCTGCTCTGTTTCTTTGGGTGCCAAATGTCCTCTTAAGGTGCGTTTGAACTGCCGATAAGATGGGTCAAACACAACCTTTTTCTTGCTGTGTATATATTGCTTTACATTATATAGATATATCTATATATAGATAGATATATCTATATAATGATCGAACAACTCCCTTTGAACATAGATGATGATTTCTACCAGCACCTTCTACGATGGGTCATTCTAAAATGAGGCAAAACCACAGGTATGGGCAAACCTAGTAGATTGGCAAAAAAAAGAAAAGACAATCTTCCCTGGTGTTCCAAATGACCAGCTGGCTTATGAATATTCTTAAAATGCATGTCAGGGCAAAGTATAAAAATGAATCTGCAAGTACAAAAGATACCTGTTGTTGATGTGCCAGAAATACTCACATTATTTTTGTGGACTGAAAGGTGTAAGCCCTGCCCAGTTGTCTTTTCTACTACGGAGTCCTTTCTACTGTCCCATCTTATAACCTAGACCTACAGTGTGTGGACCGTCGTCACCCCTCTTTTCAACAAAAAGTCAATTGATTTAGTCTAAATATTCGCTGCCTAACATTGACTGCAGCCAATTATCAGTCCCTGTTTGGTATTCTGGCAAGAGGGCACCCGACACTGAATACAATAGCCCTGTTGGGGATTCCACTGTACATGCTGCCTAAAGGGGTCTTCTAAGAGGTCTATTGGATGCTTGTTGTTTATGGCAGACTTACCAGTGCACCATCGAGTCTGAAGGGAACCCATGTGGATAGAAATAAGAGATGCTATTACTGTCTTTATTTTCGGCGGTGTGAGCTCTAGTAAACCATTGAACCGAACCAAGCCTGCAGCATAAGAAGTCTGATTTGTCATCTTGCTTGCATGCATTTTTTAAGTGGTGCTAGGTCATATTTTATTTTTTTGTTGTTTCCTATGTGCCCCTGCAGAGACTGGTGCTGTTTTGGTGCAGTTATATGCGGGCACCACACATAGTATGAATGGATCCTTACTCCCAGTCCTAATGGGTCTCCCACAGTCGCAAACATTCTTGAGAGTTTAATCAGCAAATTGGTGCTCCTGTGATAGGGCCACTTTATTGCAAGCACCAATCAGAACAAGAAGTGAAGGATGGTGTGTTCTTTGTAATGTACTGTAGACTCTGCTATATATAAAATAACTACTGCAATTCCTGAGCTATTATTAATAAATAAGGTCTTAACTGTAGCTCTTCTTTTTTTTTTTCTCTCTCTTTCTTTTAGTCTGTGTGTGTATTGTCATCTGTGACTGGAATTTGTGTCATTTGGTAATGATGGGTTTTTCAGGGTGGGCAGCTAAATGCATAGTGTTCATTTCCAATAAGTAATAGCTGTATCCAGGTGATCTGTGACGGTCCTATAACTGAAGATTTATCTGCATTGTTCACTCTTGGCTCCTCTGTTGATGTTATGTTGTATTTTGTACTGTGCTTTGAAGATTAAACCTATGCCAAAAGAGCTGAATGTAAGCATTTTGGCTGTGGTGCGAGAGGGTTTGATTACCTTCCAGGTAATTACTGCTGTCCATGGCATAGCAATGAGAGGACATGCTTAGCATTTTAGCCTATTTGTCACTATCCTGGGTACATTCTTCTTGTGGAGAACCCAATAAAAGGGGGATACAGAGGAACATTGTCATCAACCTATGGAGAACTTGGCTGAAAAGCCAAGCTTGGCCTGTCACAGCCATGCAAGACCTACCAGACCACAGTAAAGATCTAGAAGGAATCTGCCACGCTCCAGCCAAAACTTGAAAATCTTTTGCCAGTCCTGTTTCGAATTGTTAAAAATTTTGAAAAAGAGAAATTTAGAACGTTATGTGCGTTATGTTCCAATTTTCAGCTGTTAAGCAGCATATCAACTGCAGTCGAAAAAATGACTTCACCGACCACAGTGCATGTATGTATGTTGTGTAAAGGATGCACTGATCAGGGGTCTCTGGTTATCACCAACACTGCTTGGGGTCCTGCGATGGATGGACTTTGGAGAGTATTTTCAATACCTAAGAAAGGGAAAAAACATGTAGCTCTGTTCCCCAAACTATAATAATCATAATTTGCCATATTGCTGGATACCCTTTCTTACTACACTAAGGATGGTCATGGCAAATAGTGCATGCAAGATTGCATAATAAATTCATCATATAGCCCATATATCCTAATTTGTATACTTCACTCAGATCTAATCATTTATTTTAACAAACTAATTGTATCCATATCATTTTCTCATATTTTTCCAGTTTAATCTCTCCAAAATCCCCACCAGTGGTTTAATGGAGGGCGGTCTCACTTAAAGAAAAAAAAAAAGTCACATGAGATTTCATGATGAGCAGACAATAGTGCTTGTGTGTCTAAAAACGTCATCACTATGGAGAATAGATGTCTTGTTTTCATTCCTGTTCATATTTGACCTTACCAATGACATACGAAACCTGTCAAAAACAAAAAAGCCATCTTTGTCTCGTGTTTGAAACTTTGAAAGTTCAGCTAAACCAGAAAAAAATTATATTGCAGCTTACCAGTCTATATGAGTGGCTGCATTAGTTTTTTCCTTTATTTTCACCTGGTGATTCTGCAAAAAACTCACTTCCTGTCCTTTGTGTCTTCACTTATTCCTCCAGAGTACCTATAGAGGTAGCCATGGTTGTTGCACAGACTTGCTCAAACATGTCTGCCTTTGTTCACCTCCATTACACGGTGAATTGATGGGTCTAGTAGTTAACAACACAAGAAAGATAAGGTTTGGTGCGCTTTTTTTTTAGCTCACAGAAAGTGAGCTAAAAAGACACAGCATTTCTAGCAAGATCAACAGGTATTTTCTGTACTTGCTGAAAATGTTGTTCTAAAAAAACCTAATGCAGCCACTTTATCTAAGGACTTTATTACATTCTTGTTTTTAGGTTTAGATCATCACCTGACAAATACATGCTCATACTGTGTTTGGGGCCAGGTACGTCTAACTGTATCTGAGCTTGTAAACATGCCATAGATGATGGAATTAAAGGTCATACAGTACTATTGTTTTGTGAACATTAGAGATGTGACTGCATTTTTATGTCACTAAACCAATCGTCCTCATTTGTTGTCATTTGCCAAGCAAAGATGCACATGCATTTATACCTTTTTGTTTCTGAGCTCCAGTCCTCAAACCCCCATCAAGCGATGTCCTGTCTTTTTTGCTGTCTTTATGGAATCTGCCACCATTCACATATATTCATTTTGGAAATGCGCTGTAAATGTGTTCAAGGTATAGAGGTTTGGTGCCTTTGATTTTAATGAACAATGTCTGTTTCAGCACTCAGTATCAAATGTAAGTTAAGCAGAATGACATGGTCTAGTTCTTTTATGCAGTTTCTTATGCATTTCACTGCTGTATTAACATGGCTATATGTGTATGAGATCTTGCAGATATTTCAAGTGTTTACTTTGTAAGTCCAGACTAGAAGATCAGATAATTGAGCAGGTCAAGTTAAAAAAATAAAATAATCAAAAGTCTCAAAGCGATTTTTCTGACACACATAAGTTGAGGCCAAAGGGATATTGATCAGTGCAATAGATTCCATCACTGAGCTTCTACAGGCTTCCCCTGCAGCATTGCATGGGCTAAGAACTACAAAAGTGAACACTTACAGGGTTATTCATAAAAGGGTGAAGAGTTTTTGGAGAAGGCCGGAGAAGTGAGCAATCCAGGACAACATAGCTGAACTGGAAAGTGAGCTGCATTGGATAATTTTTCCAAATCAGTGATTATGGCCTAGATCGTTCACTTCTCCGGCCTTCTCCAAACTCTTCACCCTTTTTTATGAATAACCCTGTCAATGTCGGCCAAAGGCAAGTCCAACGCGTTAACACACTTCTAAACTACAGCAGTTTAACTCGTAGACTTGCAAGATCGCTGAGGATGAGCTTTATTGTAACGCAACATTTGATAACGTTTACATGTGAGATCGATGTTTGGCAAAATGGGCACCAGACGAGGCAATTTGAAACCCAGTCAGAGCATCTGTGCTTTTTTTCTTTTTTTTTTTTTAAGTGATCAGAACTAAAAAGAAAATTTAATTTGCCAGCAAAATGCATTTTCCATTTTATCCAACGTTTTCCATAATTCGTTCTTCTTTTTGTTTGGCATCAACAAGGTAAGTCTTCTCTTTCATGGTTATGGAACCAAACATTTCTAGTTCTGTGGTATTCCTATTTTCACTATGCTAGTTTATTACATACATATGCAAGTAATTTATAATAAATCAACAAGCACGCATATTGTATATAATTATACAATTCATAAATCATGATTTATACATTTTTTTGATTTGTGTGTGAAGTATGTAATAAACATATAAAAAGTACAACCTTTGAGTTTATCTGGTGACATTAACCAAATCTGCTTTCATCATGCTTATCCTGTACTAATGTATTTTTATTTTTTTTTTCCCTCTCAATTTGCCTTTGAAACATTGGATGCTCTGTTACCAGTTACAAGAGAAGGTAAGAATTCTTGAAGTTGTCTAGATTACAGGCTTTTCCCCATCAAATAATGCATACATCAGTTTTATATATTTTTTTTTTTTTCTATTGCAACCTTTGGGGATCCATTCAGTATAGCACACCTTTTGCCTCCCTTTTTTTTCTCTTTCTGCTAGCTTTATGTTCAGTGTTCATTTTAGTAAAAGATTAAATATTTATAAGTTTATAGGTTATAAGTTTCTGACTTGGTTGTCAGTTGGAAATGGTTATTTTGCCCATATTTCCCACTGTTGACACTTTATAATTATAATCCTAAGAAATGTTAGAACTGAGAAGTTTCACAGGCTGTATTCCAATTTCCAGCTGTTAAGCAGCATGTCGGCAACAATGGGAGCAATGACCTTACTGACCGCAGTGCATGTATGTATACTGTGTATAAGGCACTGATCAATGGTCTCTGGTTATCACCAGCACAGCTTGGGCTCCTGCTGTGGAAGGATTTTGGAGAGTATTTGCTAACCTAAAACATGACTTGAATGCCGTGTGGTTGTGTACTCGGGACATTTTATTTATTATTATTATTACTACAGTAATATGCTTTAAATTTGTGGATATTGTGATATTCTAATAGCCCAAATCTTGCTAATCTAAACTAACTGTTATCTCTCTAAAATCCCCACAAATGGCCTACCCGGTGAAAGCACTTTAAAATGGTTGTGTAGGAAAACTATTAAAACACTCGAGTTTGCCTACGGGTTAGTTAGATAAGTGTTTCACGGACTGGGCGTACACTGCTGGCATGCAATAGCTATCCACGTGCGTCAGTCACTAGGCTCAAATCTTGCAAATGTTTCCATTGCCATACTGGGGGAGAGAAGGGTAGGCGGCAGCATGACGTCATCCTTTGACGAAAGAAGTCATCTACAGAGGAAAGAAATGATTTGTGAGAATTTTCTTTCCAGTTGCTCAAAGTGCACTGAAATCTGTTGCTTAAAACTAGATTGTTTCTTGCAAAGCTCTTAAGTCACATTTGCATTTCATTATAAAACCAATTCTTCTACATATTATGAACCACATTGTTGCCATGTTTAGTGGGGTATTTTGGTTGCATCATTTTTCCTAATGTGCCTTCTACACTAGACACTATGTAATGCCATCAAGCCTCCCAAGTGTCCATATTTTGTCAGGACAGACAGTCATAACCACAAAGCTTGGTAAAAATAAGCAGTACTTCACCAAAAATGTGGTACTTTTTGCAGACTGGCATCCAAATTTGGCCAGTCAGTTGGTGGTGGCACTCACATTGGTTAAGTTTCTAAAATAGTGTTTACCAAACATAGTCCGTAAAATCCCTTGGCTGCTTTGTGGTTTGGCATTACTGATTTCTGGGTCCGCTCCATGCTCACTGGACATTGGTGATGATCCGGATCTAATGATGCAGCAAAGAGATGGCACAGGAAGCTGAAATACTGAGCCAGGAAAATGACTTGTATGAACACAAACTACTTGTGTCACCTGTCTGTGCATTGTAGGGCATGTGTATGAATCGGAGCATAGTTTGAACAGTATTAAAAATCCTTTGACAGGCCTAATGTAAAATATCTATTTCAGCTATGTTGGAGTTTTACTTTTATGTTGCTGACATTCCTGATAACGTACTGATATTGGACCCTTGAGGTGCAAATATGGAGTTCTCAAATTACTAAAACCTACCTTTTTTATATACAAGGATGTGGTTTAATTTCAGTAGAATCATTTTTATTTTTGAAATTTATAGAGAGAAAATCAACTTGACATTAACCAACAGTTTTGTCATGAAAAAGTTATTTGTTTCTTTCTCATGTAGAATATATGGAGAACTACTGTGACCTCCCTAGTTGCTATGTACAATGTATACATGAGCTGGTTTCTTGGCTCCCTCAAAGCTTCTACTATATACACCATTATTTATGGCAAACTAAATTGCGCGCTAAATTTCTAGTCCAGTGAACTCGCGGGCTGCCAGGAAACCACGAAACATACATTCACCATCAAGAACGAAGGTTAAAAATTGCCATCTGTGTTATGAAGCGAGTAGTATAAATACATAAACCTTGTTCCAGGGTCTGCTATCTTTTTATAAAAGCTTGCATTTTCACTGTAGTGTCTTATTCCCCTAGTGGATAAGATGTTCTTCTGTACTGTTATTAAACAGCGAAACTGACTTTTATTCAGGATTGGATCAACATTTAGAATATTGGAACCAACATTTAGAATATAAGTGGGTCAGCAACTGTGGAAAAACATGTTTATTTTTCTTGAACATACCAAAATATGCATTTCTTACAGGATGTCCTTCATCTGGGGAATTGTGAGCTTTGGTCATGAGAGGAGACCCAGAAGGGTGTCCCTATTTAGGGTTAGATGAGCCGAGAAAGGGAGATGAAGTCTTGTTGCTGGAATACAAAAGTAATCTTGGGGTTGGCTAAGGGGCTGTTAAGGATGCTAACATGGTTGTGTGCACAAAAGGAAATGTGCACCGACAAGACAGAATTCTCACCCTAACATGTTTTAGATGTTAGTCTGGTCGATTAGGCAGGTTACAGAGCTTCGAGAAAACCTTAGCAGTGGAATATTCCCATTTGTAGTCCAGTAAGCCAGCTTAGGTGGGGAAATAAACAGGGTGGTACTGAACAAGGGTGTCAGCCTCTGACTGTATCGTGTGTGTTTTTTGTTTTTTTTAATGCATGAATCTTGGGAGTGACCGAATATATTAAAAAAAATATTTGACCAGTAAAACGTCCCGCTTGAATAAGTGTTACCTTTTGTATTTAGCCACTTGGCTGGCGTCCCAGTTACATCAAAGTACAACTTTTAGATGTTAATACATTTGGTCACTGAAGTGGACCAAGAAATGTTTCCTGAAAGGTTGTGCAAGTTGTACTGTGAAATGTACAATATAGGCTCAACTCTGCAGCCTCTGCATTTCTTTAATGAGTTCCCTTTTAATTCTGCTCAGTGTCTCCATATTCATTGATGTACAATGCAGATTTAGGAATCTAATTCTTGCATGTGTTTAGTGTCTTAGAAGAGTGACTGACAGGCAGAAACCGAATTAGAAATTTTTTTCCTGAGGTGTCCTGTCTAGCATTTGGCTCATTTATATTCATGGAGCGGAAATCGAATCTGACTTGTTTATTCAGCGGTTTCATGAATTTCATATCTGGCAGACTGGCATGACTTTTGGGTCTGATTTATTTCCTCAGTGCTTGTTCAGATTTAGGATACACAATCCTGTATAGCACACATTTCAGGCATGTTTAATAAAGGCCGGGGATTAGGAAGTAACCAGAGTAGTGAGGTCTTATCTGTTGGCAGTTTTTATTCACCAGCAAATATTCAAATGTGTAATTTATTCAATGTTTCCAGTGAAAAGTAACCCAGGATGAACAATGAGATACAGAAAATAATTTCTGGCCATAGCTTTGTCTCTCCCTATTGGCTGTTTAATTTGGCTGAAACGTTTACAAATGTGGTCATGGGAACCTAAAACAGGGAGCCCCGGATAGTTTCTTCATTTGCATTAAGGTAATAATACAAACCGAGTATTGTGCTACAATTCTGCCTCTTCTCCCTCCAGGCATTGAGCGTTCATTCCTGGGGCGTTGACTCGTCCCTCCTACAGGCTAGTAGGTTTTTCGCCAAAGATCCTTTATTGTCCCTTTACCGATCTTCAAGCTACCCTACAAGCCACTGTCATTCCGCAATGGTTCTACCTACAACCATGTGATTTCTTAAATGCACCTACTGGAAGATCAGCATATGCTAGTCAACTCTTAGACTTTGATAATTTTGTGCACTTTTAATTCTCTCTAACACCTTATTTCCACACTATACTCTAGCCTGTTTCACCAACTTTCACCCAAGGTGGATATAGCAACAAAGGAATATGACCCTGACTGAGGAAGAGTTGGAGGCCATGAACAAGGCTTTCTTGGTCAACATACAGGAAAATAACTTTAAAATTTGAATCCGGTCAGCATTGCACCTGACTTCCTGGATACTTGTTGGAGGTGCCACTGGGATAGGGGTACCAAGTTACACATTTTGAGGGTCATGCCCTTTTTTCACCTTTTCTGGTCTTGAGTTCATTCTCTCATTGTAAAGGTTTCAGGTTGCTCTTTACAATTTCACCTGGCCCAGTTTTTGCTTCACCATATCTTCGCTGCCATTTTGTGCATATAGATATTCTCTTCCCTTCTGTCTGCTAAATGCAGCAAATTCAATTAGACCAAGATTTTGGAAATGTACTACAGTACCCACTATTGGAGATTGGTTCTGCCACATTGAGCATGTAGCAGCCATGGAAGAATTCATCTAGAGTGACCAGCACACTCTGGCCTCTTATGCGACTTTGTTCTGGATGGACTTTCAAGACTACTGCATAAACTTTTGTGGCTTTTGATAGATCGCAAAGAGCTTTGACCTGAGGTTGTAAGTTTTGATGCCACTCTC